GCCAATGATGCCTATAGAGGATATGTCCATGCAAAGAAAAGCAGATTGTGAAGAATGTAAAATCAACATGATGGTATTCCGATTAGACATTCATATGAAAGATATAGAGATTAGCATACGAGAATCGAAGCAAAAGGCTTAAAAAGATGTATAAAGCGGTTTAGATAGATGAAGAAAGAATATATAAAAAAATAATCAGAGATTTAATGAGTAGAAGATGATACCTCATGCCGAAAACTTAGAGTCAAAACAGTGTAAAACATATACAAATAGTATTGCATAAAATTGGGATTGAATGAACAATGCCTATCAAGTGAAAGTAAAAGATCAAGTGGTAGTATAATAAAAAATAACGAGAAAGCCTAATACCCCAAAAGGGTGTGTTTCTCCCGCCCTAGTTTGTAACAGCTCCAAACCAGGGCTGCTCTGCATAGCCGACACACTTGCATAGGGGAGCTTTATGGTTGTGTTTGTTTGTGTTTTTTTTTTTTTTTAAATTTAAAATACCCAAATAATAATTTATTTAATATTTATAATAATTATAGGTTAAAAAATATATATACAATATATATGTCATTTTGTAGACAAGAAATTTTTTTATAATACAAATAGATAAAATTTTAAAATATTTATATTGGATATAATATAAATTCATAATCAAATTATACCATTATTAATTTTATTAATTAAATTTAATACACATTTATATTATTATATTCATTACCCATCAAATCAATACATATCAAAACTCCCCAAATCCAAACCAAACTTACACACAAAAGAAATACAAAAACTCAAAACTATCTTTAAATTCAAATAAAAACCAAACTCAAATCCAAATTTCCCCAAACAGACCTAAAGAAACACACCCTTAAGATATAGGGCACCCAGATATGGAAAAATAAAAACTAATGACCAAAGTGATTAAATGTTTGGTTCAATCAACCAGACGCCTTGCCCTTAAGTGAGAGCCCTTGCCAAACATTCCTAAGGTTGTTTGTTTCCGATGCACATACTACCATTGTATCAACATAGATCCTACTAAGAACAAAAATTTAGATTATTTGCCGAAGAGGGATGAGATGCTTAATGCCTGAAGACATACTAGATTGTGTAGAAGAAAATGTAAAATTTAACCAAAGAGAAAGAGCTTGACAAAATACAAAGGTTGTTAAAGATTAAAAGATCTTCTCTATTGTTTCCAAAAGTTAATTTATTGATGACAGATTTATAATCTGATATTTTCTAGAAAGAAGGGCAATTAGGAGAATTACTTTATAACATCCACCTATAAACTGGTATCACAAGCTTTACATTGACATAAATTGAATCCACTTGGTCAACATTCGAAAAGAATGACGAACATGAGTGGGCTGCCATATACATAAGAGGTGGGTCTTCAACTCCGGACCAAAAAGATTGCCCGAAAAACCCATAAACTTTTATAATTTAGGATAAAAAAAATATTTAATTTTAAAATCTAATATTATGTTAACATATATAGTCTTCTAGTTCTTTTATTCTCTTTCGGTCTATATTTCTAATATATGATATTCTTTTTTTTAAATAAATTTTTGGCGCATCATAAAAATTGTCGAAGTGGTTACCCATCTTAATACTTCGCCTAAACATGTTTAAGTTCAGAAATTTTAAATGACATATAAGTTATAAACAATTTTGCCGACAGAATAAGTTGGATTGAGGCCATGATCTATCATCACATAACACTATGGCTGAATTGAGTAGGTAGGTAGCTGTTGGATTATACTGTAAAGCAAACTTTTAGTACGCTTTTGTATTATTCAATTTCCTTATTAACTGGAATAAATAAATTGTTATTTCACATTGTGTTGCTTTTATTTATGTTTTATATATATTAGCATGTCCACTTATTTAATATTGTAGACAACATGGTGTGTGGAGATCACACAGAAGATCTTGTTGTCAGTTCTTTATTAAATATAAATGGGTTTCACAACTGAGATGGTTATGGACAAAACCATCGGTTTAAGTTGTAGTGTAAACTTGGAATTAGTTTGTCTTGACTATTAGTTTACACTAATGTGCTGCGTCACATTGAAAGGATCACAGTTGAGATATGTTCTTCTATTCTGACATTGAAGAACCAAGATCTCGGTAACTCTGTTAATTCTTAACCTTAGATGAAATAAATTAAATATATGGAATAAATGTTCGTTGCTTTAATTTACCATAAGTGAGAATCCTTAGTGATTCAATATGCTTCGTATTTTGGGCAACTACATTATTCGCATAGTAATTAATTTATTATCATTAAGGCACCATGTCCTGGACATCCAGGTTGATGACATCCCCTTAAGGAACTCAATAAGGATTATTGTATAAACCCTGCAGGTGGATTTAATCCGTACAATAATAAGTTTTGAGTGGTATTACTTAAGGAATTAAAAGATATTAATTAATTAAATTGTCAGAAGATTTAATTAATTAATGGATGTGGAACATCTTAAACATGGGGAATTAATTAAGTTTAATAGAAGCCCAGATTCAATTTGGGTTGGGCTGGGAGTGCAATATTAATTCTTTAATGGAATGAATTAATATTTTATGATTCGAATTATATTCAGGGCTGAATATAGAGATTTGGATCTATAAGGGAGCCCGAGCCCAACACCTTCTAAAGATCCCCGGTCTGGCCCAATTACCTGTTGGGAGACTTATTAATATGCGGTCTTTGTCAAACCCTAGTGACGTTTTTTTTTAAAGAGGCGAAAACCACAGGTGCAAGCCGTCAGCTCTAGGGTTTCACGAAGAGCAAAATTCGTCTCCCTCCGTTTGATAGATCGCCGCCCATCCGGTGTTCGAGCGGGGTTCGGGAACAGTCTGGAAGGTCTCTAGCGGAATCAACCTGTTCGTGATTGCTGTTGGTGGTTCCAAAAGGGTACATCTCCAGTTCATTCTTATAGGAGCATGCTTAGGATCGTTTAATACCATGTATGTACGCGTTGGCATCCAACAACGATCCGTGGAAATGAACAGCCCTCATTCGGCGTGTTCCTACAGTAGCTGCTGCCATGAATCCATGGAATAAGTTGAATGAGGTAGGCGGTTTTGGAGTTGGAACCAACATCAACATCATCACTAACACAAGATTAACAGTATTCATTCACTCAAGAAAGCATTCAATGCATGCCATGATATGATATGAATATGATTATGATTATGCACTCAACTCATCCCCACTTGATCCTTATCTAACTCAATTTTATAGTTATGAAGTTTCTAAAATTTGGTAGTATGTGTCACGGACCGTCTGGTTGTTTCTCAAACACCGTCCGTGCGGCCTAGCAACTTTCGGATACTTAGAGGTTGCTAGTATAACCTTTCTTCGAACACCTTCAAGAATACTCAAGAATATAATCAAGAACATTCAAGAATCGTAGAGAGAAGAAGTAGTGAGGGAAAGTATATGTTATTGCTCTCAACTTGATAATTTACCAATGAGCACTACCATCTATCTACCAACCCCCACCTATTCCATACAAGTTCTAGTTTTATTTACAAAGTCTCAGACTAGCCTCCGGATTTTGGCTTCTTCTCTTGGTCATCTTCGGTCACGGATTTCGGTCCGTGACATATGGAACCTCAAGCAACTCACATTTGGCTCTGAACCAACTAACACACATTTAGTTATAGGCCTCAATGTGACACTAAAGGGTGGGTTTGTTTGGGGGATTGGATTTTTTTTTTTTCACTATTCATCCAATTTTTTCCCCCCAAAAACATCAAATCAAACACTCATTTTTTATTTTTTATATTATACTAAAAATCAATTTTACATTCAAAACATCACATCAACACCTATTTATATCACATCATACAACTATTTAAATTCAAAATTTTTACTATTCAAATCCCAACTCAAAATCCAAACCCCCAAACAAACACACCCTAAAGAATAATTAAAAATGAGGGCAATAATGGTAATAGTTTAAAGAAATAAAATAAAAATAAATCAGAAGTCATGATATAGCACTCATTTTTCTTCCATATTCACAATATTATGAAACAACTCATGTCACAATAACAAGGACAGATCAACCATTTCATTACTTGTTCAAAACATGTCTAACAGAACGACAAACAAAGACCTCATTGAATAAAATGAAAACATATGAGTATTGAGAATCATCCTATCCATATAAACCAACAATCCATATTGAAAGCACACTAAAACACACCTTATTTCAAAAAGTTTGAACTTGTGTACATTCATGCTACATGAACAAATATACCATTACACAAGACATTGAACAACTCAACTTAAATCATCTCCTCTATTGGTTTAACAAATGAAGCACTTCATTTCAAATAACCCTACTCTGGCAAATGAATTCTATTATAGGAACAGATATACATGTATAATCATCTGTTGCAGTAAAAACAGTGCAAGTAAGAATACTTGATCATCACCCTTGATCAATAACTTGGGAGTGTTAATCAAGAGGAGAGATGAACAACACAATATCATGCACACAAAGAGCTTTATCTTTGCCTTTCACTTGATGGCCAGCAGTTGGGGCTACAAGTGCTATACTAGTTACCGACAATCGCAAAGGTATATTCTCATAGGAGTATATATATATATATATATATACAGAGAGAGAGAGAGAGAGAGACAGAATATATTCTACTTAATGAGATGAGATCATAACCAACGACCATCGCCTAAGAAATATGAGATGAAAAATGAAAAATGAACACTAAGAAAAGCGTAAAAAGAAGACTGGATTGCAATATTAAATTTCTACTAGGAACTGATTTATAATGAAAATGGAGCAATAGTTATTTTACTCCAATTTTCCCTTAAATCCATCCTTCAAAATAATTCAATTTCACCTCATCAACTACAACAAAAACCCTTAATAGATCTTTCTCATTTTTACCATCTCAGGCAAAAGATGGAAAAACAATCGAATCAAGTGCAATTGAACCACTAATTAAGCCAGTAAAAGAGCTCAAGAGCCATTTAGAAGTAGCAGCCTATAGATAACTGCAAAACATGTAACCAAAAGGCAGAAACAGATTATTCACAACTTACAAGAACTTGGGCAAAAAACACAAGTGGTCTGCAGACGCATTGAGTTTAAACATAGCTTACCATCTAATGAGCATCCAAACATATTGTGACATCACCAATCCTTAAGAAGCTCGTCGGCAACATCCTTGTAACTAACTTTTTTCTTTTTAACAACAGGTGCGGGTTCTTCATCTAAAGGTAATTTTTCCTCTCTACGAATAGGTTCAGAATCTCTGCATTTGAAGTCTTCGTAGACGGAAGGGTTCTCACTTTCAACTTTCTGTGAAGCAAGAATTGGGAACATATTGAATAGCATAGCTTGAACTGGATCAGCATTGTCCCGATCATTCTTCTGACTACAGCTCCCTTTGCTCGATTCAACTTCATCAAATTTTTGTGCATGTTTGCTAAGTTCTGTAGCTGCCACAGGCTCCACTGCATCACCCATTTCTGTTGTGGAATTCTTTTCCCCCTCTTTCTTTTGAAATTCAAAACTGATCAAATTTGCAGTCTTAGAAGTCTCGGCATTAGCTCTGCTACCTTGAATGTTCTCCTCTTTAGCATGCCCTTCAGAAGCTGCAACCATCTCCGATTCATTCCTGCCTATCTCTACGGGCTTGCATTTGGTTTGAGCCCTTGTTTTTCTCGGTTGATTAAAACCTGATCTTCCTTTTCCTCTAACTTGTGTCCTCTGAGTTACAGTATGATCTATGTTGCTCACTCCAACTTCTTCCTTATCATCTACAAACTCATCCTCATCAGACTCATTTTTGCATATCTTAGCTGGCTTGTTTCCGATCCGTGGCCTGGTTCGTCGAGACTGACTGACAGCTGCTTTTCCTCTTATTGTTTTTGTCCCACTGGGTCTTCCCCTTTTCCTCTTTTCAACATTACTAGGCAAGCTAACAACCCTTAGCTTGTCCGAAGGAATCCTGGCTTTGCTTCTGTCTTTCAAATGGGAGGATGCTTCCCCTGAGCCAATGTTTGAGATATGATGTTCATCTGTACTGACATCTGCTTGATCACTTGAAGAAACAAGAAAGAGGGATATGTAAAGACATTTGTAGACGTCCAAACATGTTTTCCTTTCAAATGAAATTACACAAGCAATTTCTCAGCTAGGGGTCTTTGATATGAAATAAAATATTTTGGGTAAGAAAACAAACACTTGAAAAAGAGACTAAGCTCTAAGAGGACGTTAAGGATAAGGACTGGGCTTTGCCATTATTCAGAAGTAAATGTGATCTATTTATACAATATGATTGCAACGAGAAATATGAAAATGGAACAAAGATTATGATTTTGTTGAAATAGAAAATCCAGGACTGCTCTACATGCTATTGCATTAATGGCATATATCTAAATGCTACACTAACAAAATCTTGCAAGAAAATCTTCTCCTAAGATACATCTCTAAGTGTAATAATAATTTTATTCTTGAGTGATTGAAGATTCTATCAATGTCATTAATTATGAATCTGTCTCAAGGCAAACCATGGATTATACCATGATGTTATGTTGCGTTTACTTAATACTGAAAAGTTAACCTTTCTCTAAAACCATTGATGATTAAACATGTATAAGTAGAAAATTTGGCTGAACTCAGGTAAGAAATGCCCGATAACAGATATGAGAGCACTCACCTGTCCTCGGGTAAAGAGACTTGGAAATCACGAGGCTTCAAACTGTAACTGTCCTCTGGCAGCTTCTCGTCTTTCTCAAAGCAATCCTCCAACCACTGGGACTTGACAATGTGTAACCTTCTCCTGGCTAAAAGTTGCTTCTCAACCTCCGAGAAACTGTCAACAAAAATATGTCAATGTTACAATGTTTTCAGTCTCCATCAAGGAAGAAGTAAAGGTTGTCAAACTGATTGTTGACTATTATCTGCCACGGACAAATAAATCAAGATTTTCACCCCAACAAAATCTATTATGGCGCATTGCAATTTACATGAAACACTAATTCTAATCAATAGAAAATAGAAATATAATATATATATGTATATATATATCTATATATGAGAATTGCATGCAACAAAAAGTTTGAAAGATAAATTTACCTATGAATATAAAATTTGCACCATATTATATTATCTCTAATTAATTAAAAAATAAAAAAAATAAACATAAAAGTAAACAACTTTGCTGCATGAGAAGAACTCCTCACCTATTTAATAATATGTCGAAGTCCACAGAGATTTTTGAATCACATATTACTACCAGATGAGTAGCATGAGAAAGAGACTGTGCGACAGTGCCACCACCAATGCAAACTTCAACCTTCATCCTCCTCATTGAAAGCTCCAAAAGTGCCCCGTGGTTCATATTTTTCCTGGATCCAGATAAAAAATAAATAAATAAATAAATAAAATAAAAACTGATGTCCAAGTATTTATTATCCTTGGCACATAAATAAAATATGGAAACACAATCATCTTACATGAATTGCCTTGGAATGTGGAAGTAAATGCAACAACCAAGAAAGCGAACCCACTCCTCCCTCAAACTATATTTTTTCTTGTAGTGCTCCACTGATTGAGAATCTGCAACCTTGACCATGTTGTTGAAGATCTGAAAAGCAATAAATTGAAAACTACAAAATCAACAAAAATAGACAGAGAGTTTAGTTTATGGTTTACTGTTTTATGCACAAAAATTCTATTTTCATTGTTTCCCCCATAAAACACCAGCAGCCAGTTACTAATAGTTTCAAACAGATTAAGCTGAATAACAGATGATGCACTAAGTAATATCTCAACCTGTTTGAGATCTGTCACATTAAGATCCAAATAATAGGAGTCAGAGAACTCGTCTATTTCTTCTTCTAGCTTTTTTTTGGATGCGTCAGAGAGAAAAAGGAAATACCTGCAAGGGTAAGAGAATAAAATATAATTATACGTAACTATCCAAAAGAGGAGAGCAAACAATTATGCAATGACTAACTTTGGTTGCAATGGAAGAAGCGTCTTCTGTGCACAACAGTCAAAGAACCACGAGCAATGAATCACATCTCCTTGGTGCTTTGCAGCCTGAAATTTGATCCCTGTTACATGATTTAATTAACATTATTTTCCCCAGCATGTGTTCATATCGTGTAAGAGACAGGTCAACTACACTTACCTTTATTCTCAGCTGCAATACAGTGTGTAACCGAATTGTTTATGTTCATTGAGAAAGTTCCACCATTCTCAGCCACCATTTTATGCAGTGAATCAAAAGACTGGAATGGTGGTACATTTACAAAGTCTATAAAAGTCAAGGAAGATGGATACAACAAATGGACAGTATCAAAGCCATTATGAGTTCCTACCATTACCCTCCTAGTGCAACAATAGCCAGTTCACCTATTATTCTCTCAGCCATTTTCCAAACTAGAAATAACTAAAACACAGTTTCCTGCTGCATTAGTATCTGAACACATCTAACCTTCTTACGCTGAATCAAATAATTAAAACACATCACAGTTTAGAATATTACTATAACCGGTATTTCTATAGGATACAGAATTTGAGGTTAGAAAATATTGATGTTTCGCCCTTAACTTTAGAAATATCGGTCTGAATAAAGTGGGAAGGAACAATAGCAATATTCTTCTTTGATCCTCTAGAAGATTTGGCACGTTTTGGTTTATCTTCTTGCACAAGTGCATTATCATTTGCCTTTTGCATGGTGCCATTACTTGAATGCACCAACTCAATAAAAGCTGCCAAACGTAAAAGAATAGTCAGCCTGGGACATAGTAAAGACTGAAGAAAATGTGAACACCTAAATAAGCTTGATGTAACATTTAAATATATAGAATTGTAGATTTGTCTTCCACTCACATTGAATATCAAGGCATTCATGCCAAGGTTTGTCATATCTCACTCGATCAATCCGTGGAAATCTCAAGCTATATGGAGCAGCAAATACCTTGGCAAATAAAAATTGCAGATCATCACAAACATTAATAGAGCTCATCACCGAGAAACCTATGAAACTTGTATGTTGTTTCAAAATAAAGTTGAGCAGCAATACTAAATTGCAAGGGAAATAAGCAAGTTGGAGATCAAAGAAGGTCCTTCTGACTCTTGTTCATGTGCTTGGCATCATAGCAATGCATCAGGAATGAAAAGAGCTTAGCTTCTGACCATACCTCGGATCTTATTGTTCGAATATCACTAGTTATTGAAACAATAAATGATCTGCGAGCAAAAGGAATAATATTAGAAACACAAGATGACAAGTTGTATTCAGTTGAAAATTTTTGCTCACTTTTCAGGGCTTTCAACCCAAACATCGGGTCTTTCCTTTGCATTATTTGTAACTTGATAAAAACTTGGAGGTCCCTTCTTTCGATAGTCATATTTCCTGGAACAGCAGTACACGTTTCAAAGGAAATTACAGAATATAATATAAACAATAAGATGTAAATGTAACATTTACGAATATGAAACATGCTTAAAACCATACAAATAATACATCAGATTTCAGTAATTTGTGGCAAATTTCAACAGCCAATCTAAATGTTTTCATAATTTTGTCTAAAGTAATATCAGTAAGCATACCTCAGGTAGGGCTTCAATTTAGTGACAACAGCATCAAGCTCCTCATCAGAGAGTCCTGTACCAACTCTGCAGAATGAAACAAATCTGCACAGAAGAAAAGAAAATCAGAATCTGCAAAACCCAACATGTAATAGAGCTCCTTATAGAGTAGACCGCAACATACATCATTAAAGCCCTAGGCATTTTTAATTTAAAGTGAAGATCAAAGGGCATAAGGAAAAATATAAGTGATTAACCAGAATTAAAAATCAATACTCAAATGACAGGGAATGAAGATGATGTATATGGAACTTGATCAGCATGTGCATGGATCCATGACCAAGAAGGAAGAATATATGGAAGAAGAAAAAGGCATAAAGCACGTGAGGAAAGGAGAAGGCTGTGCAGTGGATCACAAAGCAACCCAAGACCAACCTCCCCTGCTTCTGGAAGGAAATGTGGACCACAAGGCTGGAGTTTGTTAGAGGGGATCAACTTTTTTTTCAGGAGCTTCTAGAATATAGTAGAATAGAATACTGTGGAACCTTTCATATTAGATTAGATTCTTTTGGGAAGTGTATATATAGAACATCACTTTGTATTTGATTATTGTTGAATAAAAGTGAACTCATTCCAATATTGTGTTTTCTCTTGCTCATCAGCTCTTCATCAAATATTTCTTTACTTTTTGTTAGAAATTGAAGGCAGAGAAGCAATAACCTGTAGAGAGAAGCTTTCACAGTTTCACTACAAATTTTCATACTGAGAATGTAAAACAAATGTAGTGGCACATCAGAACTTCAATTAACACACTACACTCGAACAATGATTAAGAAAGACTAACCGATTGGGATGGGTGTTTGGTGCTGATCGCTCTGCAAGGCCAACGAGAAATTGTGCCACCTTCACCATATGGAATGGCAGAAAGAGTACCTTTAGTACATGGAAATATGATACAGAAACAACTCTGCCGAACAGTTTGATGCAAAATGCTCACCTCACCTCCACGGCGCCCAGAACCATAGTAGCCTCCTGATGAAATAGTTTGATTATGGAACTTGATGCAAAAGCAAGACTTTTGAGAAAGTTAAATGGCAATATCACCTATTATGAGAACATCTAAATCAGACCCTGCTCGAATATAATCTGGTTTTAACTTCAGCCACTTTCCACTTCGATCGCTAGGCTCCCATTTTGAGTTGAGATCTTTCAAAATGATTCCTTCATCTCTAAACACCAGGGAAATAAAGAGCCGGGAATGGTTTTCGCATCAAAAACCAGAAAACTAAGGGTGTTTGTTTGGGGGTTTGGATTTTGAGTTGAGATTTGAATAGTAAAAATTTTGAATTTAAATAGTTGTATGATGTGATATAAATAGGTGTTGATGTGATGTTTTGAATGTAAAATTGATTTTTAGTATAATATAAAAAATAAAAAATAGGTGTTTGATTTGATGTTTTTGGGAGGAAAAAATGGGATGAATAGTGAAAATTAAATCCAATCCCCCAAACAAACACACCCTAAAAGTAAAATAATGTTGCATAATGATCACATATGACATAACACAAATCTTTTAATTAGGGATCATCCATTTGACTCTTAGTGACCATTTGCTATTAATGTTTATTGGACATGTCATCTTATGATCCATTGTATCAGACAGTATTCTTTCATGAAAATTCTGAAAAACATTACTAAAGAAATAAATAATAGAAAGAAGGGAAAACTCCACTCAAAAGAACCTTCACAGATTGCAAGTATCAATGAAATCTAAACTATAGTTTTAATTTTTTTTTTTTATCGGAACTATAGATGTAGTATTAGCCAACAAAGAAAATGACACATAGTCCCAATACATTGGCTTTGTTCTTTTTGAGCTTTTTTTCCCTCCCCCTCTCTCTGTTTTTTCCCCTATGCAATCTCATTATTCTAATAACATACAACTTTTCAATACAAAATATCATATCCAACTACTATTTTATCTAAAACATCAAAAGAACAAAAAAGACGAGCCAACTGTTTTTTTATTTATATAGATTAGTTCCCTTAGAAGCAGTATTAACTAGAAAACAATGTGGAGCCATGATCAAAGTTTCTATAGTTGACATTACCTAAAATTCCTGTACCTTCTTTAAGGAACATATAAAAAACTATAACACCAAGAATTATTTTGGTATTAAAGAATGAAATTACAAACAAATAAAAGTAGAGAATTGAATTTAAGAGGTTTGAATGTAATATTTTGTTTAATTGAGTAATATATTTTTATAAAGAATCGTGAAAGTTAAACATTTAAAAAATATATTCGGATGAGAATTGGTGTGTTTAGGTGGTGATTTTTTTTTTTTAAATAATCGATTTTATTTTTTATGTGAATAGTGGTTTGACAGTAATGTTCTGTTAAATTGGGTAATATACTATTATAAATAATCGCTACAATTAAAGATTTAAAAAATGGAAAAAAAATTGTCAAATTCAGTTTAAAATTTGTGTTTAGTTGGTGATTTTTTTAATTGTTTTAATTTTTTATTTGAATAGCGGTTTCAATGTAATGTCTCTTTAAATTGAGAATTGAGTTTGTTCTTCCAACTATTTTTTTTCTCGACATGATTCCCAATATATATAGGGTGTGTTTGTTTATAGGATTTGTAAAGATTTCAACTATTCACTCAATTTCCCCTTCTCCAAAAACATCAAATCAAACACCTATTTTTCATTTTTTTTATATTATACTAAAAATCAAATTTACATTCAAAATATCACATAAACACCTATATATATCACATCATACAACTATTACAATTCAAAATTCTTATTATTCAAATCCCAACTCAAAATCTAAATTCCCAGACAAACACACCCATAATATACTATATTTTATTATCTCAAAAAAAATCCAACATTCAATAAAAAAATAATATTTTTTATATTACTTACAGAATTCCCTATACCTCACATAAAAAAATATATATTTCAAACCAAAATACTAAACAAACAAATCGTTATATCTTTATAAAGAATCATAAAAGCTGAATATTAAAAAAAATGAAAAAGAAAAATCATTAAATGATCTAGTGCTTTTCAGTTTTCAATTCTTTCTCTGTACAAAGGTAACAAATGAAATCAAAGAAAGAGAAATCATTCATTTCTCAAATTTCAATTCTCTTAGTCAAACAAACAAGAAAAATAAAAATATTTTTCTATTTATTTATTCAATTTCTCTATACCAAACACACCCCACACCCCATATGCTAGAGATGTAACTCCCATAAAGGAAATAATATTGTTCATATGGGATGTATCATAGCATGGATAACAAACAAAAAACAACTGACCTATGAAAAAATAAATAAATAAAAATTGCTGACCTGTTCTCAACTGTTTCTTTAAAAAATCTCTCAACACCATTAGCATCTTGAACAATTAGTGAACATGGCTCCCCTGCACGATAGTGTCATTACATAGAAACATACCACCACATAATTGAAAACACTACAGACCAGTTTCAAGAACCAACAACAGAAATATCACGAGAAAAGCATCTGTAGCTTCTGTAGTGAAGTTGATTGTCAATAGGAACACAAACTGTGCCTTTTAAAAGAATCTTTGTGCCTGCACAATATAAATTGGCAGGGAAAAAAATCCACTTTCCAATTTACCTTCAGCACGGCGCAAGTTAAGACCACCATTTGGAACCAAAATATCCAAACGGCCAGGTACTGATTTGACAACTTTCTTAAGTAGTAGATGTCTCTCCTTCAAACTTTGGTGAATAACACTTGTATCTCCAACATATAGAATGTCAAATGCAACATCTGGTTGCAGGACAGGTTAAAAAAACTTATAGAAATAGAAGTTGAATCATGTAGATATTAATTTCAATACTATCGTGATTCATGTGCACATTCAAATATTTAGATCCACGCCATAATAAGGATACAGAACAACTGCAACAGAAGGGAATTAAGGTCAAAACTTCAAAAATAGAAATTTTTAGCTTTATAACAATTATAACATAATTCTTTATGCAGACCTGTCGATCACTGGCAAGCCCCTCCTTTGCAGCCTTGGCTGTGAAAAAAGTACAAATGATGAAAGTGTGAGTAAAGTAATACAAAAGATAATAACCTGACAAGAAAACCAGTATCAAAGGGGCAAAGTTATATTAGAACCTATTTCTTGATTTGAACCAAACTCAGCAAATCGGTTTGCAGATGCATCCCAAACTAACATTTCACCATCTAGGATACACCTGCAACAAATGACTGTGTTTAGCTGCAATGAGTTAGATTATAATTAGAAGATAGAGACATGGCCAGAGAAGTAAATGTGGCACTGAAACTGAAGAATGAGAACTAAGAAGAGAAATGCCCTAAAATAGCTAAGCAAAGAACATAGAAGAACTGAAGTCACAGCCAAAATGGAAGATAGTTAGAACCTCTAACTACACGTTTTGCAAATGAATCAACCAATTCATTTTCTGAGCAAGAGATTTGGTGAAAAATGATGTGAGAAATCTATAGATGTAAAAAAGCAGCTTATTGATGTTTGCATTAAGCTTCGATCAAGGGATAGTGCCGTTTATCCATCCTAATGAAATTTTGAAGTCGCACTCAACATAAATCTAGGGCAATAGCCCAAGCTGATCAAGGGCCACATGCTCAAGGATGTGGGAGATAGCCAGTAATTCAGCAACATCAGAGTTTCTATCCCAATATGCTTTGAAGGAATGAAGATTGTTGAAAGTGGTTGGGGCCAACAAAGTGATGTATCCCAAATGGTCTTAGATGACTGCTCCAATATTGGCAATTACCAAATTCTGAACCATCTGAGTTGAAAACCAACCTTGGATTGGGGGAACCAAGTGATAGAGGGGCACATGATAAACCTCTTATTATGCATTAAAGATGTCTTGAAGATTGTTCACTAAAGTGGTGAGGGCTGTGATAGTGTGGGATATGAACTCAGTACCAATAGCCGATAGATAATTGAATCTTGAAAATTGCCCAATTTAGTGAGTAACTGAGTACTCCTTATTGTTTAAATATGAACCCATTACAAGCTTTACAATTTCCCAAAGGGCGGCCTTTAGAACTCTATTCCAATTTACGATGTTTAGGGATTTGTTGAATAGAGAATAGAGAATAGAGAATGCCACTAGATGATGAGGTCCTGGCAGGAAGAAGGACAAATCCAAGAGCTGTTGAAAGAGAGAAAAGATTAGGAGAATACGACAATGATTAGGAGGTGCGACAGTGGGAGGCAATAAGCTAGTAGAATGGACTATCGCACCATCTTCCAAGTCATTGAAGAACCTATAGAATGGCAACTATAGAGACACATGGAAAACATTTTGATCTAGGATTACATGCTTAGGGATGATGATATGGGTTGGAGCCAAGTTGAGTCAGCGTTAGCCTTTGTACTTGGTCAGATAACCAAGAAAAAATGTTCGGTGGACATGGTGCCAGTTTGTGGCTGGCTATAGTTGAGAGATTTAGTAAACAATGATAGCCAAAAACATACATATGTGAGTAGTCTGGTGGAGAGCCAACCAAGGACTCGTGAGGTAATTTGTTGTGAAAGACTTCTGAGTGGATGTGTGGCGGGGTAAAGAAGGGACACGGTGAGTGGGACTCGAACTCAAGACCTAGTTAGGCTCTGTAACCATGTCGGATGCAGAATGACCGTGTCACCTAAAAGCTCTAACTATTAGGGAAACAAATCTATTAATTTATATATCCGCAAACGGAAGTCCCCAACAGATATGATTATATCATAACTAAGTAACTAACAAATCTAAATAATATCAACTAAAATATCTATCTAAAATATATTTCACCATCCTGCCTCAAACTCAAATTGGTGATGCAGAAGCCAACTCAAGTTTGGCAAAAAGTAATAGGAGGTGATTGAAAATGAATGGACTTCATAACTGGACATCAGCATTCAAATCAATTCTCTGTCATGGTGGGGACGCTGAACCCTAAGAAATTAGGATTTTCGCCAAATTAAGGTTTCTAATGACATCAATCTTCTGTCGCGGGCATGCATCGGCGATCCTCTGTCGCAACGGCAGAAATTTTAATAAATTAAAATTTTGGCTAATTTAGGATTTTTAATGGCCACGATCCTCAGTCATTGCGGCGGCATCAAGTAAGGTTTCTGATAACGACGATCCTCTGTTGCGGCGACACCGGCGATTCTCTATTACTACGTCTGAGCAAAATCTTGAAAACTTGAACGCTAATAGGCAAAAACTCTAAACAGGTAATTAAATACCAAACGCAAAAAACCTTTATCAAAATTGAAAACTTGACAGATAGATCGAAAATATCTCAGTATGTTGTCGCGAGAACATTTATTCTAACAATTGAACACCGAACGCACTTTCACATGCATGCAGTCAAAGTCGGCGGAAACAAAATTGTTGACTGTGTTGACTGGCATTGACTGACGGCATTGACGAAACGTTAACCGACGTTGGTGGTATGCACTGTTTTTTATGATGATATTTGGTAGCAAGTGTTTTCCAAATTAGGAATACGATTATGGTAGTGGTGGATCTCAGATTTGAAAGAACGTCCTCCGGTTAATTACAGGATATACCCGGAGAAAACGTGAATTAGTAGATTATGTCTATTCCAAAAGAAAAATACGCTCTAATACCATATAAAAATTCTAAAAGAAATTTATGAGATTTATTGATAATGAAATTAAGGTCTATTTATAGATCTGATACAAAAGAATAAAGCTAAATAATAACAACCAAATCTACTAACATATCTAGATAATAACAATCTAATCTAGTAGAAATGATTATATGATAACTAACAAATCTAAATAATATCAACAAAAATATATATCTAAAATATATTTCATCAGGTGAGATAAAGTGTCGGAGTCCATGTACCCGGTATTGCCTAGTTGTAGTGTGGACATTGCATTTAGGGCTAGGATCAACGAGGGTTGATCCCAAGGTGTGGTGGACGATAGGTTTAGGCTTGTTTTTATCATAACCTTTTGTTATTCCTCTTAACACACACACACTTTCATTATTTTATTGTAAGCTACTCTCTCCACGTTCAACTTAAATCATACCTTGTCACTTGTAACTCTTCATCATACCACAAAGAAAAACTACCAATGAGTAGAAAGAAACCAATCTCGTTCACTACTTGCAAAAGAAAGTTGTAGCCCATGGAAGAGAAGTAGATGTACTTCCACTTGAAAATGTTACCTCATTTTGATTTAGTTGTTTATGATTTAGTTCACAAAACTATTGTGTTACATTTTCAAAGAATTCGAGTTGTTAATTCATAATGACATCAAAGCCTACTTATAGGCATGGTAAAAAAATGGATAAACCCAAATAATAACTAAATTTAATAGATATATTTGAATAATAACTATCAAACTTATAATATTAATCAAAATGTCTATAAAAATATATCTCAACACCCTCTCCAAAAAAATCAAGGTGGTGCCGGAGAAACCAATTTGAATTTGACAAAAGAGACTGGAGGCAAAGGAATCTGAATCCAGACAAACTTCATAGCAAGTTCGAATGAGTGATATGTTGGTAGTATGTCTAGGTCCCAAACATTCCACGATAGGGCACATAACTGTGCATCAACTTTTGACCATTCAAATTGATCCTCTATCATTGCAGTACTACCAGTGTTGGCAATCCTTTGTTATAGGGAAGAAGCTAAACCCTAAGCAAGTAGAGTTTTGGCCAAATTGATGTTTGTGGTGGCACAACGTGGGCATCAAGAATTGATTTGAATGCTAATGTCCAGTTATGAAGCCCGTTCATATGCAACCATAACCTATTTCTTCTGCCAAACTCGAGTTGATTTCTACATCACCAATTTGAATTTGAGGCGGGGTGGTGATATATATTTTGAATAGATATTTTAGCTTATATTAGTTAGATTTGTTAGTAATTATAAAAGTTTTGTTGTCTTGACATAAACAAGAGCAGATACGACAGAAAATGATAGATGGGATCTTAATATGCTATTTAAGGATCAAATAAGAAATACTGCACTTATTTATTTACCTGTCAACTAGGACATTCTCTCTTATAATATGTGACATGCCAGGCTCATATTCTTGATGGTCAAGAAAATTCCTGTAAATATAGGAGAACAAAAATCCATTCAGGCATGGAAAACTTAAGTTAGTTAAATTAATGATAATAAAGTTAAATAATATCACATATCAGCTTTGAAATGGCCCAACAAAAGATTGTTAGGTTTAAGTCATCTTTCTTCCCGTTTTCCTATTGAATCATTCTAATAAGAGATATCCTCTTGAGTGTTGTAATTGTAAATTTTGCAACATTATTGTACATGACCAAAACAAAGATCACAAATTGGCAAGTATAGTACTGCAAACTTATTGGTGTCAAGGGGCAGGAAAAAAATGAAGTAGTAAAACACCAAAAAAAGTGGACAACCTAAGCAACCTAGTTTTAAGATATTTAAGAATATCATAATTAATCTACGAAGGAAACAATTGCTATAGCAGATACATCACAGGATACCAATGAGGAGTGGGCAGGATGTACATTACCTAGAGAAGAAATTTATCTGTGTTCCATTCTTATGGATTTGGATGCGGTCACCATCAAATTTGCATTCAACAACAACTTCCTTTCCATGAAGCTATATATATATATATCAATCAATAAGCCAGTAATTTAATGACAGGAAAACTGGAAATGCAAAGAAAAGAAGAAGAAGAAGAAGAAATGTGCATATAAGTATGTATGTATATATATTATATATATATACAATACAACACTGGCCAGGAATTTAATGACAGAAAGGTACTAATAGCTGAAAGATAAATTCATTTGCAAACATTCATCTTAACCTTTTTCCATGCAGTGGCTGCATTGCTGACCCTCAAAGCAAGTTGGGGACGAACTGCTTTGCCCACTTCAATGTCCTGTAAAACTAAATTAATCATCCGGACAAAATAGGCCAAGAAGAGAGTACTATAACTGTGTCAATTCCCAAAGCATAAGTTGGTGTGAATGAAAAATCCATTAGCAATTACACCATGTAAGTATGCTGAAAATTTGTTATCGAAAGTACAAAAAGCATGTATTATGGCCCCGCCAACTTATCATTATATTTATAGTTTGGGATGGAAGTGATCTTGGCACCTCCAATCCAAAATCCCATCCATATTTCAAACCCCTGGCCCCACACTTCGAGTTTATGTGTGGCCCCTTTCAATTATCACTGAGCATTGAAGGAAAACAAAAATATAAAATATAAAAAAACCAAGATAAGAATTCATAGTTAATTACTCATAGCATCAACAATACATGAAAAACACATAGCAGATAATGCGGAGAAGATAAATGTCTCTGACTGTTATGCCATGTAGTTCAGCAGGTTGAAAAAACCGACGACCATGTCCACTTTGTCCTTCATCAAAAGCTCTTCATATTTTGACATATCAATAAATGGTTTCTAGAGATGGAAATGAATATGAATTCACTGCCTTCAAAAAATGCATGCTATTCAACTTCCATCACTACCTCAACGATATGTTTTTGGTGAAATTGATTTCAAACTATAAAATAATAATCCAAATATTAGACAAACCTGCCTCTTGTGTCGCTGACTCCGATCCCGCAACTTTTCACAGACTAATTTTAGATCACAAGTCACATTGAATAAGTCCTCAGCATCAGGATGAAATTCATGAAATATGCTTTTTTCACTTATTCCTAACTTTAGATCTGATTGTTGGAGAGGTTGCAGAAAATTAGAAGATAGAATAAATATATAAGAAGAAAATTCAAACAAGAGATGACTCGAAATATATGTATATGTATCTAAAATTACTCTCTAATACCACCTTTCAGAATAATCATAATAATCCACTTCATTTCCTGAGCATTAGTTTTCCGCATCAGATCCGAAAGAATGGACGTCTTTTCAGACCTGTCAAGAGTCCCGGATTTCATGTATCAATAAGCTCTATTTCTTTTTAATTTCTTCGAACAAATATGAGGTAAGGCAATTAACAAGTCTACTTAAACAGCATGAATTCTACCTATTCTCAGAGGAGGCCAGGCGGTCAAGCAAATCATTTAATTCTTTTATAGTCATTCCGCCAGAAGTCAACCCCTGCCTCCGCTGTAGAACCTGTAATATATGCAAGACTTCAGATGATACACAATACTGTGATATAATAACCACTTATATTTCAACTCTTATACATGTTGTATAGAATGCATGACTCTTTGCTCTACTTTTATCAAAATCACACAAATGTACATATAAGGAAAAAAAAAAACAGCAACAAAGTAACATTCTGAGTTGTTTTTAGGTAAAAAATTAACCAATCAATTGATAAAGCCAGTTAAAGTAGGGTTATGACACCATAAACAACATTCACTTAGGATCTAAATTTTAAATCACTGCAGTTATAGTAAGGTTAAAACTCTTGCTCCCTTATCCAGAATTAAGGACAACTCAAGAAAAGGGCTATACTCTACCTAATTGGCCCAACAACTTGATAACCAGTATAAATCACTTGTTGAATATTCTTTATTGCTCCTCAATATATTGCACAGACAGAGTTAATACAGAAATGAGATTTAGGAGTTAATGACCAAAATGAAACAAAAGTTCCAATGCAATTACCCGTACCAAAGTAAGAGGATTATTCCAAATGAATTTCCACTGGGAGAGGAAAAATGGAAATGCCAACATCAATAGCATCGGAAAAGATACATGATTATACTCTGATATACCTTTCTATCATCCAATGTCAAACCATTTATAATTAATTCCTCCAGGAAATTATCTCCTATAAACATTAAAAAAAGAAACTAATTCACTAGTTGATGACCACAATGAAACAAAGTTCCAATGCAATTACCCATTTACCTGTACCAAAGTAAGAGGATTATTCCAAATGAACTTCCACTGGGAGAGGAAAATGGAAATGCCAGTAAATTACATGATATTATACTCTGCTATACCTTTCTATCACGCAATGTCATACCATTTATAATTAAATTCTCCCCAGGAAATTATCTCCTATAAACATCAAAAGAAACTAATTTACTAGTTTAAGATTGTTTATTGCTCCTCAAATATATGGCATAGATAGTGTTAATGCAGAAATGGGATATAGAAGTAATGGCCTAAATCAAAGAAAATTCCAGTGCAATTTACAATACCTACTTAAGAGGATTATGCCAAATGAACTCCCACAAGGAGAAGGAAATGGAAATGGCAGTAACTTCCATGCCATTATACCCGGCTATACATTTCTATCATGCAATGTCATACCATTTACAATCAACTTCTCCAGGAAATTTCTCCTATACACATCAAAAGAAACTAATTTGTACCATGCCAGAATTGAAATAAGATTTGACTAAAGAATAAGGGTGTGTTTGGACGTGTGCTTTGTATTGAATGTTTTTGGGTGTTTTGGGCTTGAGATTTTTTTAATCGAATATAAATTTTGGATGTGATGTATTGAATGAAAATTTGGTTTGAGATGTTACGATTTTCGGGTATGAAGAATATTTCATATAGGTTGCATTGTTACAAATTTTATTTGAAAACACAAAAGTATAAACTAGAATTTTATCAGCAGATGCAGTTTTCCAATAAACTTGAGACTAACCAAAAGATTAAAAGACAACTGAGAATTCCCAAAGAATCTACTTGATGAAATTGCAAGCCAAAAGTAGGAATATGTATGTATATATAATTGTATGTTTGTGTCCATCATAATACCACAAAGACAATATAGGCAAAGAAAAGTTAGAAAGGGGAACGTGACAAAAATCAATGATAGATAATAATAGGGCAATAATAGAAAACCCAACGAAGGCATTTTGTCAAGCCAAATGACAAACTTAAGCATTCGTCTTGACTCCGAATAAATTAAAATCAACAGGATCATAACTTTTTAGACGAAAAATGTTCGTCAGAAGGTGTGGAATGAAAAAGATCTCCGAAATTAACCTCTGCGGCGATGAGGGAGAAGTTCCCGGCGAAAGCACCGGACTTGGGGCCGCCTTTGCGCCAGTTGAGGAGGCGCTGAGCATCGGGAGAGTCACGGGACATTCCGACGGCATCAATTAAGCACGTGGCGAGCACATGCTCCCGGAGGCCGTAGGATCCGCGCTCGCGGTCTAGGGCCGGCAGGACCAAGCGGATGGCGGCGAAGTAGTCATCGGCGTTGTTGGGGCGGCAGAAGGTGTCGAGAAACTTGCGGAATTTGGAACGCTTGACGGAGGAGGACTTGCTCTTCTGCATCCAGTTGAATAAGCTGACCATAACACTGAACTTCGTGGCGGAGGCCATGGTTGAGCCTTCCTGCGTCTAATTTCGAACTTGCATTCTTAAATAGCTTTCTTTCATCACCAAACTTCCCATTAAATCCCTCCCCAAAGTCAACGTACAGGAAAAAGTACTTTCTTCCTCCGTCCCACAGACCGATTTTTTTTAAGAATATAGTTAAAGAGAGTAAAAATTATTATTATTATTATTTTTTTTTTCAAATTCGATATTACAATTATCAATTTTGGTTCAATTCAAATAAAAATTTATCAATTTTAATTTTAAAATATTGACCGGATTGAACAGTCTTAAAATGATTGACTGGACTGAACACCCTGTATTGGATAACTGACAATCGGCTGTGTTGAGACTAATACGGCTGTATTGATTAGCCTGCACTTCTGAATGGCCATGTTCCTACCCATGTTCCTGTCAATGTTCTCAAGACACAGCCATGTTCTAGGCCATATTCACGACCATGTTTTCAATATAATTATATTATATGTCATATTTATTATTATTTTCAATATAAATATATATATAATTCAACAAAAATATTTTTTACAATTATTTCATAATATAAAAAATAATCAATTTTTAATATTTTAAAAATATATAAAAATAATAATATATTAATATATATTTTTAATAATACTCCTTCCGTCTCACTTACCATGTCCACTTTGTCCGTCTCACATTACATGTCATTTTCCTTTTTTTGAAAAATAATTACACACTATTTTTTAATTTAAATTTTTTTAATTTTAATTAGTTATTTTAATCTTAATTTATAATTATTTATATTTGATAATTATTTTCACTAATACATTTTTAATTATCTACTAATTATATTTATCCTAAATTCTCGTATCTACTCAACCTGGGACGGAAGGAGTATTATTTTAAAATATTATTTTGATTAATACATTCAATTTATAATTTATAAAAATAATTAATTTAAAATAATACTTTAAAATTTTTACTATAAATTTTTAAAAAATATAAATAATGATTATTAAAAATATATATTAATATATTATTATTTTTATATATTTTTAAAATATTAAAAATTGATTATTTTTTATATTATGAAGTAATTGTAAAAAAAAATATTTTTGTTTAATTATAAATATATATATTTATATCAAATAATTTTAACCAAAAAGTGAAAATAATAATAAATATGACCTACAATATGATTATATTGAAAATATGGTCGTGAACATGACCTAGAACATGGTTGTTGAGAATATGGACAGGAATATGGCCTAGAACATGGTTGTGTTGAAAGCATGAGTAGGAACATGGAAATGAACATTATTGTATTCAGAACACGGGCGGGAACACGAGCAGGAACACGGCCGTGTTCAAAAGTGCAGGGTAATCAACACGGCCGTATTGAGACCAACACAGCCATGGTCTCAACACGGCCGTGTTGGCTGTCTGGGACGCTCAGTCACCTTCTGAGTCATCCAACACGGCCGTGTTCAGTCCCAATCAACCATCTTGGGATTAAAATTGATAAATTTTTATTTGAGTGGGATCAAAATTGATAATTTTTTTGAATGAGACCAAAATTGATAATTGTGATATTAAATGAGACCAAAAAATGATTTTTACTCAATTAAAAATTAACTTAAAAAGTACGAGAGTCTTCCACTTAAATAATTTTGGTTAAAATCAATTTTTACTTAATTCTCTACTAATAATTTTTTTTTCTTTATTAACTTCACATTTTAAATTATTTATTCATTTCAAATTTTATTATTATTAAAATAACTTAAATATTCTTACTATATAACAAGACTTATATTCTCTCAATATATTAAATTTAAATTAACATAAATAATAATAATAAAATCTTTCACCGTTTGGATACTTCCGCCGAGCAGAAGTCTATGATAGTTGTTCAGCTTGAGGTTTTCGTTGGACTATACTGGGTGACTTTTCTCCTATCAATTGAGTACTTTTTACACTCAAAATTGTAAATTATTGGTAAAATTTTATACTATTTATTTGTCATATTAAATGATTTTTAGAGTTAATATATTTTAATAGTTTGTTAATTTTTTTACCGTAATATAGAGATGTCAGACGAATGAAGCATATCTAGTGTTCTTCTTACTTGTAAGAATGACGAAGAGATATACGTAGCGTTATTAGAGTAAAATGCTACGTTGGTGAATATTTTTTTGAAACTAAGGCAAGAATGAAGATACATTAATAATAATTTAACGAAACTTCAATATATAACTCTACTACAAAAGCTATTTGTCACTTTGGGTTGCGACGAAGATGATACAAATATAATATGCACACATCTAGATTTGAAATTAACGATGGTTGATATGATAGTATTATCGAACAACGAGTCAATCTGTTGTTCAAATCCTTACATGTATTGTTTGTCCATCCAAATATATTATATCTAGTGTGTTAATATTTATAAATTTTACTAACTCGTTTTTTTCGTGTAGAGACATTGACATAAAATCCAACAATAAAATGATAATTATCAAATCGAAATAAATGGATTTCTTTTCTCGCTCTCTAACCGGGGACAATCAAATTTTTGTGGATGCCAATGAGTTTCGTATGATATTGAAAAATTATGTTGTTGTCACTCGCCATTCTTTTAATTTTAAAAAGAATGACAACAAGAAGATCATTGTTGTATGCAATAAGGAGGATTGTGAGTGGCGTATATATGTCGCTTATCACGTAACAGATGGGCTATTTCACACACGTAAGTCCAACATGCAACATAAATGCAGTGAAGATAATCTTCAAGATCGAGGCAATCTATATGTTGACTCTCCATGGTAATTGGGATTATGAAAGAGAAGCTAAGGATAACTCCGTCATATAGGCTAGATGATATAGTTAAGGACATACAAGTCGACTCCGAAGTTAAAATTAGCTACAAACAAGTATAGTTAGCAAAAGAGATTGAGGTTCGAAGTATACATATGGCGTAGAAGGGCATGGTTTTGATAAATTGTGATGGTATTGTAATGTTATAAAACAAACAAATCCTAAAAGCATCGCAGACAATAAGCAAAGCCAATATGTAATAAATTTCATCGCTTTTTCATTTATTTATATGCATGCCTAGTTGGATTTGTCCGTAGATGCAGACCAATTATTTTTCTTGATGGAACGCACTTGAAGACAAAGTATAAAGGTAGTCTTTTAAGTGCGGTTACAGAAGAACCGTGTGTATAATTTTAAAAAGAATACATACCCCACAAAATATAAGGAACATACCCGACAAGATATGATATTAGCAAGTGTTCTTTATAAATATTACCCAAGTATATATGTAAATGTATATTTAGATAAATATCTATGTGCAGTAGTTGCTTATAAGTATTCTATATATATATACATATATATAACAATGTGTGCATAATTGTATAAAATAAGCCTCAAAATTTGTTGTTTTTAGATGAAACAGAGCATGTTTCCGCAGACTCGCAGGAACATTCCTTGTTTTCGCTAAAAATGAATGGTTGGACTAAAACTGTTGATTTTTGCATAAACAGAGCATGTTTCCGCAAAAACCAACAGAGTCCGGGCCTTATATTACATGTTTACCTTGTAACATCATACTTTTTAGGACCTAATATTAATAGATTTTAGCGAATTCGATGACAAATTCTTGCATGCACTGCTTAATCATATTGAAACACAAATGAAGGAGACAAACAATTTGTATTTAACATTTAATCAACAAAAATAAAGTATTTACAAAATAAACAATAACGTACGCTACAATATCGGTGCACACAACATGGCCCTACTAACAAGCTTAGTCGCTCTAAGAATACATTTTGCAAGGACTGACTGATAATCATCCACAACAACTATTTCTTATATTTTTCTCATTGTGTCTTTGGTATCGTGTACATAACACTCAACCCACAAGCATACGAAAATTCCACATTCTATTGATCTTGTGGCTTGTTGGCACGGAAACATAGGAACCGGTTTTGGAGTGGCTAGTTGGTAGTTCATGTATGTAACTTATACAAAAATTTGGCCTACAAAACAAATATAATTCTTTAAGATTTGATATATTTTGACTCAAAAATATTATATAGAATATTAAAGTCACTTACAAGTGTATTTGCAGTCGTTTTGGTCATGGCACTATGCAAAGAATTGTAGTCCTTTAGGGACATCTCAATGGTGTCGAAGACCACCAAATGCCAATGGAAGGACGTGTGCAATGAAATTAAGATATATTTATATCCAGTCTTAACTAACTTTCCTATTAAGAAAAGAGTTGCACGTATTGGACGCTGCAAATCCAGAACCAATTTGTCCAATTTGTCATTGGGCATAGCCTTGTTTCTGTACTCTTTTTAAAATATCCACCGTAATGCTCTATATCACAAAAATACACTCTATTATATAACAATAACTACTATAAATTCAATAATAATGCACATATAGAACTAATTTTTAAACCTACCGCAAAATGTATGGGTGCATAGCCGACTAAGTGTACAATTCTATACTTCAACTGATAATCTTCATTGCATAGGAGCTTCATATAGCATTCAATTGCATCGTCTTTAACGGGCTCTCCAAATTATAGTTCGAGAATAAAGTTCTCAAAGACGTGAAGTTTCTTACTATGCCATATGATCAACCTTTAAGATATGTAAAAAGTAGCAGTATTTTAAGAACAAACAATCTTTTGAAAACAAAAAAGGATAAATCATCACTTACTCAAAATTTGCATTATTCATGAAAGAATCTATTCCATCCGTCCCAATTCAAAGTACCATTTTTATCATTTTTGTCTGTCCCACTTCAAATTATCCTTTTTCTATTTAAGAAAAAGCAATCATGCACTAATACCAAAATATCCTTAACTTTTACTTAAATCACAAACATATCATTACATGTACAATTACTTTATACATAAAAACAAAGGGCAAAAATGTTAAAAACTCTTACACACTTCTACTAACTAATAAAATACTATTATTTCTTAATTTACTACAAAACCTCAAATGACCCAGTTGATTTGGGACAAAGGGAGTATTATTTTGCGGTCCATTTC